GCTCTTGATGCACTGACTCCAGCCTCAGTCCACTCCTTGTGAAAGTCCCCAACACTTTTGAATGGCCTTTTCCTGACAATCCTCTCCAGGCTGTGGTCATCCCTGCTGCTTGTGCACCTTTTTTCTTCCACACTTTTCCCTTCCACATAACTTTCTATTAATGTGCTTTGATACAGCACTTTGGGAACATCCAACTTCTTTTGCAATTACCTTTTGAGGCTTTCCCTCCTTATGGAGGGTGTCAATGATCGTTTTCTGCACAACTGTCAGGTCAGCAGTCTTTCCCATGATTGTGATTCCTACTGAACCAGACTAAGAGACCATTTTAAGGCTCAGGAACCCTTTGCAGGTGTTATGGCTTAATTAGCTGATTAGAGTGGGACACTTTGAGCCTAGAATATTGCACTTTTTCACAATATTCAAATTTTCTGAGCTTGTGGATTTGGGGTTTTCATGAGTTGTAAGCCATAATCATCACAATTATGACAAATCACAGCTTGAACTATCTTGATTTGCGTGTAATGAGTCATATTAGTTTTACCTTTTAAGTTGCATTACTGAAATAAATGAACTTTTGCACAATATTCAAATATTTCGAGTTTCACCTGTATAGGTAAACCAACTCTTTAAAGTATAACTAAACCCTTATTTCAAAAATCTGGTATCTGCAGGACATTATTCAAACAAATCCAGCCACCTTAAATTTTCAGAAACTCACATTACATATCTTTAAAATGTGCATATTCCTATACCATTCCTCTCTACTTACTCTGCAGGTACACAAGTTGTTATGTAGGGAGGTTGCACAGAACTGTCTATCACAGGAGTTTGCTGATGACACTAATGGCAAAGGCCCTTAGGCATGCCTCGTTGTGAAGTAACAAGCTGAACATGCTGGCGTGCTGCAAGTCGGCACATCTACTCATAGAACCCAGTAGCAGCGCACATTCCAGCGCTGTTCCTACTTAGGAAGCCAGTCAGGTAGCTTTCCCACCCAAACATGGGAAGTTATATTGGCAGTGGGCAGGATCAACAGGCTGAAAGAAGGAAAAGGGAAAAAATGGCTTATCTGTAACAAGGGCATTGTAAGGAAATGTGTAATTATTTTAAAATTAAGATTTAGATACACTTAAAGGGATGAGTCACAGCAATTTGTCACTTTCTGATTCATTCCCCTGACCTATTAAGGCTAGTAACACTTGGCTTTTTATAGCAGGTGGTAAAAAAAAAAACAGCAAACATGAAAAGGAGCCTACAGCTCCACCCGCTGGTTTAAAAGTACACTAATAGTACATTTTCTTCATTGAAAGATTTTTTTATTTTTGAGTCTAGACCATAATAAAGTCAAAATGTATAAGAGCACTATACCTTCCCTTTAAACACCAGTTTACATAGTAAGTCTGGCTGAAAAAAAGGCAAAAGCCCATCCAGTTCAACCATTGAAAAAAAAAAAAAGTTATAATTCTACACCCAGAGTTAATCCAGAGGAAGGCAAAAAAAAACCCAGCAAAGTATGATCCAATTTGCTCCTGCAGGGAAAATAACTCCTCCCTGATCCCCCGAGAGAGGCAATTGGATATTCCCTGGATCAACTTTACCTATAAATGTTAGTATCCAGTTATATTCTGTGTATCCAAGAAAGAATCCAGGACTTTTTTGAAGCAATCCACTGAGCTGGCCAGAACCAACTCCTGAGGGAGTCTATTCCACAGTTTCACAGCTTTTATTGTGAAGAAACCTTTCCATGTTTGGAGATTACATTTCTTTTCCTCCAGACATAAAGAGTGCTCCTTTGTCCTCTGTGATGACCTCAGGGTGAATAGCTCTACACCGAGTTCACTATATGAACCACTGATGTATTTGTACATGTTGATCATATCCCACCTTAATCTCCTCTTCTCAAAAAAGAATACATTCAGTTCCTCTAATGTTTCCTCACAGCTGAGCTCTTCCATGCTTCTTATCAGTTTGGTTGCCCTTCTCTGTACTTTCTCCAGTTCCCCAATGTTCTTTTTGTGAATTGGTGCAAAAAAGTGAACTGCATATTCCAGATGAGGTCTTACTAATGATTTGCACCGGGGTAAAATAATATATCTCTCTCTCTGGAGTCATTACCTCTTTTAATACAAGAGAGGATTTAGCGCGATTTAGAAACCGCAGCTTGGCATTGCATGCCATTATTAAGCTTGTGATCTACCAGAACTCCCAGATCCTTCACCATTGATTCCCCCAGTTGTACCCCCCCACTACGTTTACTTAACGTTCTCTCCTGTGCCAGGTGTTGAAAACAAACCTGTTCTGGCACGGTTTCAATCCAAATCAGTGTTCACAACAAGACTACTTTGAAATGGGAGAATAAATGGCAGTCACAATGAAAGACTGGCAGTACCCTACAAAAGAGACTGTTCTTATAGCTTTTGTTGTAACAGAAAAAATTGGCCAGTGTGCAATTCATACATGCCCACACACAAAAACATTTCCTTATAAGCAACACTATAATTTGGAGTGTGTAAAATTTTAAAGTATAAACAACTAAAGGCAAAGCTTTTTTTAGATTTGGATAGCGTGTGGTGAGGGGATGACAACTGGGCAAAAGGGGATTTCCCTTCCATCGGAAAAAAAAATCCTTTCACTTTCTGTTGAGTCTACAGAACAGAAAGTGGAGCAAAAACTCCAAAATCAGACACAGATGGAAAAAAAAAACTAGTTTTGACATTGAAAATCCTTTAATTCACCTTTTTTTAAAATGTTTTGCAAATTAAAAAATGTGAATTTTTTTTTTTCTTAGGGGCCTGCAGAGCATTGCACCCGCAATCAGTGGATTGTGGATGCAATGCTGCGCTCCTCCAGACAAGTGCAAATGGACTATAAGGGCGCTTAAAAACTCTTTCGCAGTCCATTGAAAATTACAAGTCCATCTGCCACAGTAAAAGAAGGGACATGCATTTTGTTCTCTCAGATCGCCTGTCTAAAATGTGACAGCGGCAGGGAGAGGAAGCCCCATCCGCTGTCATGGTGGGGGACTTGAAGGGGTGAGGGGGACTGGCGATTAGCAACATATTACATGTTACACTCTAAATGTGGGTGTTGCTAAAGGTGAACTTGAAATGTAATGGTCATAAGACAAATACTGTATGCTCACCAACGCGACAAATTTGAGATTCTGTTTATTTATAATCAACTTCAATGTTCAATTTACTATCACTAAAATCCACAAGTCTGCAATCCGCACTGTTTTTCAGAAGTTAGAAGTCAAACAGTACAAAGTCCAGAAGAGTATAAAATGACTCAAGGCAAAAAATCTAGAATGAATTCTCCTGCTTGCCCTTTAATGCAATAGGAAGTTAGATGAGCTGTATGTTCCAGGAAGGCAGACACAGATAAGAACCTAGGCAAGCATGAGAACACTGCCTGTAGCCTTTGTTTTATTAAAAAAACTATTTAATGAACCTGAATAAAAAAGTCACAAGGTTGAAAGCTGCAGATAAGTTTGCACTTCTTCACTGTACTAAATAAATTTTGTTTTTATTTAAACTGACCAGGGTTCCTTGTTTGGATTTCTGTTGAGCAGCACACCAGCATTATAAAAAAAAAAAAAAGGATCGACATACTGTGGTCCCTAAGTCTAGGCCAGCCTGTGCAATGGAAGTCAGGCTAGCCATAACCAAACACATCTGGTCACACTATTTAAGATGTTGTCATAAACCTGTAAAGGGCGAAAGAAGGAATCCCTTTTACAGACAAATGGGATAGCTGTATGCCTGGATTTTCTAAACTAACCAGACATCTAGAAGTAGGAAATTAACTCACAATTCAATTTTGTATAGTCCAGATGTAGTACAAATAGTTGCACTAGTGTTTGCTCTACTGGCTAATGAAAAAAACCTCTGCTTCTGTATGCAGCTTGCCTCTAAAAGGAAATGCATTCTAAGAGAAAGACATAGCCGAACCTTGTGGATATGCTGGTCGCCTGGCTATTGTGGTGACCCACTTTTTGTTTCCTTATATACCTTGTGAGTCACAAACCTGTAACAGGCATGCAGATGTAAAGTTCTGACTTTATTGTGACTTCACTTGTTGCATGAGTGTTTCAAGTCAGCAACTCAAAAAGCATTAAAACAGGAGACAGATAAAAAAACAAATATCTCCAGAAGTAGGTCAGCAACAGCAGGGTGTTTCTCTCAGTATAGGTTTACTTTAAACAGACTGCTGTTTAAATACACAGGTTCAACTGTTACAAGGGCTTTAGGCTAGGTTAACATTTGTGTGTTGCGGGAAATGAGCACAAATTCATGTACAATCCCAAAATGCAAAAACACACACATCCCTTTTGCAGGCACACACTGGTGCCATTAACACTTGATGGCACCCCAACGCGTGTTGCTAATGCATGCGATTCTGTGCATTTGCATGGCAATAACTAGGCGATAAAAAAGAAAAAAAAGTCCTGCACTTCATTTTGCAATTTTCACTCCTAGGGCAGTCCACTGAAATTATTGGGCTGCACTAAACATAATATGCAAAATAGGAACACAAAATGTGCATCCACCTGCATGGGTGTGACTTGAGCCTTCGTCATTGACAATGTTAGTCTAGTTCTGGTTACAAATACATTCACTTCCATAAAAAAATGACTCTTTAGTCAAAATATTGAAGTGACGTTTAACACAGTTTGTGTGCCAAGCTTATATAATTAAAGGATAAGTTTGCCTTTAGAACATGTTACGTGTTACACTCGTTTTTAGCGTGGAATATGTAACATGTTGCCATAGCCACAGCTGCGCCCGCCACCCCCCTCTCTTTGACAGATAGTACGCGAGTCTCCCTATATGCAAGTCTCCCTGTACGATCTGTCAGATTTGAAAACAGCGCAGCCATGCGGGGCTCCGCCCACACGGCCACGTCACTCATTTAGAATTCTGTGAATGAGTGTCTACAAGTCCCATCAGCCTTAGAGGCTGTCGGCTTGTAGTTTTCAATGAACTATCACAGCACTGTGGAGTGCCGTGGTAGTTCATGGAAGCTTCCTGTCAGAATATCTGCTTATCCATACATCCCATACGGCAGGCAGATATTCTGACAGGTCTGCAGGAGACCTGCATGGCATCAGCAATCTACTGATCCCTGGTGCAATGCTTTACAGGCTCCTTTGGACAAAAATTATAAATGCACAATTTTCTATCTGCAAACAAATGTGCATTTATTATTTTTGTCCAATAGGTGAACTTATCCTTTAGAGGGTGCTTGCAAAACCGTCTATGTTTTTGTGTATCAGAAGGCTTCTGAGGTTGAAGAGGTCAGCTGAACTAACCCAGGCACAGACATAATTCCCTGCTGTTGGGCAATGGGGTGCTAGCTATGGCTCCACACTTTTCTTTTGTGTCATCTGCATTAGCATTTATAAGTTAAGCCCAATCGTATCACTAAACCCAAGCTTTTACAATCATGCCTAAAGTTTTCAAGAGTCCATAGCGGAAATAGCTGCACAAAGCAAGGAAAGTTAGGCGAGATCTTCGTTCCATGACAGTCAACCCAAGCTATAACTGGCTAAGCAGCAAACCTCACAATCCTGGAAGAAGCTGTACCCCCTGTGCCCATGGTAGGTATGAGTGCAAGTCACCCAGACATCCTATCCTTAAGGAAAAAAAGCTTGGGCTGTGTCTTTATGCAGTAAGAACTGGAACACATAAATCTCTAAGGTCTACAGAATTACATAGCTATATTGAAAATAAGACACAAGTTCATCCAGTTCAACCAATAAGAAAAATAAATAAAATGAAAATGAAAATAGAAAACATCCATAAACATAAGTCTTCACCCACAGTTTATCCAAAGGAAGGCAAAAACATCCTGTAAAGCATGATCTAATTTTCCTAACTGTCCCAGCAGGGAAAGAAATTCCTTCCTGATCCCTGGAGGCAATCAAAAATTCCTTGGATCAACAATCTCTAGTGTTAGTACCTACAAATGTTAATATCCAGTTATATTTTATGCGTTTAGGAATGCATCCAGATCTTTTTAAAAGAATCAACTGAGCTGGGCAAAACTATTTCTTGATGGAATCTATTCCCGATTTCCCAGCTCTTAATGCGAAGAAGCCTTTCCACATGTGGAGGTTAAATCCCTTTTCCAACAAACAAAAATAGTATCTCCTTTGTCCGTAAAAAGAGAATAACTGTACCAAGTTTACTAAATAGACCACTTAGGTATTTATACATTGTGATCATATTCACCCTTAATCACCTCTTCTCAAAAGAGTATACATTCATACTAATAGTATATTATCTTTCCACATAGCTGAGGTCCTCAGTCCTCTTTTATCAGTAAGGCTGCTCTTCACTTTCTCTAGTTCCTCAATTATTCATTACTTTATGACTATAACGCCCGTGGTACTGTGTCAAACGTTTATGCAAAGTCCAGGTATAATATATCAACAACCACACCACTGTCTACATTTTTGCTTATTTCCTCATAAAAGGAAAGCAGATTTGTTTGATAACTACAGTCTTTTGCAAATCCATGCTGAGTATTGCTTACATTGTTTTCTAGCAAAATCTCTTCTATGTGTTTTTTTTTTTTTTTTTTAAATCAAACTCTCGCATATCTTGCCAATTATAGACGATTAACTGATCTATAGTTACTTGGTGAAGACTTTAATCTCTTTTTAAATATAGGCACCACATTGGCCTTGGGCCAATCAAGTGGTACCAAGCCAGTCAATAAAAAGAGTATCCAAATATTAGAAACAATGAAATACCAGATCTCTTCTGGTTGAGGACATATGGGGGTTTAACATCTGGTCCAGGTGCTTTTATTCACCTCTATTTTATCTAAATGTTTCTGGACCATAGAAAATTTGAGCCATTATGGAATTGAGATCCCCCATTTTCATTTCTATACGCAGAACTATAAAAGGTCTTTATTAAATTTGCCTTCTCTGTCCCGAGTCACCAACTCTGATTTGTCTAGTAAAGAAGACATGACCTTTTTACTGTTAAAAATTCAGAATCATTGGGAGTTTGTCCTCTTTTGCAACTGATTTTTTCTCTCTCAGTTTTGCAGCATTTCTTTGTACCTTTCAAATAAGGATAGTGTTCCTTCATTTTTATATTTTTAAAGGCATTATCTTATTATTTTTGAACTTTGGATGTGATCACATAGGTTTTACTCTTAGTCATTTTAAACCTATTGCCCATGGTAACATATTTTGCAGTATGATTGCAGTCCTCAGTCTTGGAAAATGTGTTCTCTTAAAAATAAATGTTTTTCTTTGCCCAGCATGTGCTTGTTGTTTACAGTTTATATTGAATGGAAACAGGTTATGGTCACTTCTACTCAGATGTTCTTTCGTATGAACTTTAGGAGTAAGCTCTTCATTGATTACTAGGTCCAGCAGAGCATCATTTCTAGTTGGGGCTTTTATAGACTGTACTATAAGTAAGGGCTCACGCACACTAGGCTTAAAAACCACTTTTACAAGCATATGGCAATTTTTCCTGCCTGTAAACACACACTGTTTAGAGGCAAAAAAGCCTCATTCAGAAGAGCATCAGTGCATTCAGAAGAGGAGCTTTTGGGCAGAAACAATGCAAAACATGCATAAGCGCTAGACTCATTTGCGTATTAATGCATTCTAACAGCCAGAATAAAATAATATTCTGCCCTAGAGGATGCATTAACACACATAAACACGTATTTAATATATGCCTTATACCAAGTTTTTTAACCTCCCTAGCGGTATGATTATTTCAGATTTATGGTGCTGAAAGCGGTACCATTACTTTGCATGGAAATATGTAGTTTTTTTATTGTAGGCTGTAATTTTTAGGAATAACTTACTGAAATCTGTCCGAACAAGAGTCTATTAAACATCCCGGGTATGATAAAATTTGAAACACAAAATCATAAATTAGAATTTAATAAATAATCAAAAAAAATAATAATATAATAATAATACATTTAATTCAATAATATAATCAAACCAAAAACACTGAAATTTGAAATATAGCACCAAGTTCGCACATTGCTGAGCAAAGTCGCAAAATCGTTTTCAGTGTCTGATGACGAATTTCCCCACAAATCATTATCACTCAATTCTGCAAGTGGTTCTGATTTACTATTGCTGTTCTGTAGCTGATCTAAAACCGCTTTAGACCTAAAGGGACGCTTTTTGGACATCATGGACATTTCTCAGTTTCCAGGCAATAAGAACAGTAAAAATGCAGGTAGGGCACAGGACAAAGCACTCGGGACAAAATGTATGTGAAATGGTTTGATACAGTAATATTTTACTATGTCATTTTAGTGAATGTCACTTTTTGTCATTTTCAAATTTCCCACCGTTCCGTCCCCCATACGTCCCGACGCTCGCAGGGGACAGAACCCAGAAGACAGATGCCGGCATCCACTGGATTACATTGCCGGGGACACTGCAGGAGGGTCATCGCGGGAGCGCAGGACAAGGTAAGTGCAGAAGGGATCGCGACGCCGCATGGTATTCCCGAATATAGCTCGGGGTTACCACTTGTGGTACTGAAACTTTACCCCGAGCTACACTCGGGAATACCTCCAGGAAGGTTAAGCAAAACAGTAATGGCTGTTATCAAAATCCTGCATGAGTGTGGATGCCGCACCTACTACTCGTGGAATCCTAGAGTAAGATGGCCTCAGTTGAAACTCTGGCCACACCCTCTGAAGCATTTCACCTGAAATTTGAAATATAGCGCCAAGTTCACTGAGCAAAGTTGCAAAATCGTTTTCAGTGTCCGATGACGAATTTCCCCACAAATCATCACTCAATTCTGCAAGTGGTTCTCATTTACAATCGCTGTTCTCTAGCTGGTCTAAAACTGCTTTTGACCTAAAGGGACACTTTTTGGACGCCATGGACTTTTCTCAGTTTCCAGGCAGAAAGAACAGACAAAATGCAGGCAGGGCACAGGACAAAGCACTAGGGACAAAATGTATGTGAAATGGGTTGAAACAGCAATGTTTTACTATGTAAAATTTGTTTGGAAAAAAATGACACTTTTTAAAATTTTCAAATTTCCCGCCGCCGGCGGAGCCCGTACGTCCCGACGTCACAGGGACCGGAACACAGGATCCGGATGCCGGCATCGGCCGGAGGAGATGGCCGGGGACGCTGCAGGGGACACATTGCGGGAGCGAAGGACAAGGTAAGCTCTGCAGGGACTCCCTATGCAGCGCCGCATGGTAAGCCCGAGTGTAGCTCGGGGTTACCGCTTTTGGTACTGACATTTTACCCCAAGCTACACTCGGGAATACCACTAGGGAGGTTAAGTAGCTTTTCTCCTATTAGGAGAAAAGCGTTCAGAGGAGTTAAGCAAACGTTCAGTGTGCATGAGCCCTAAAATTATCTTGTAACAGTTTTATATGTTTTATATGTTTCACTGTTCCAGCAGTGTCAATACTCCAGTCAATTTCAGAGTAGTTAAAATCTCTCAATAGTACCAATGTCCCAGCCCCTGCAGCCCTTCTACTATATTTATGCAAAAGATAGTCTCTATCCCCTTGGTAACACTGCGTGGCCTGTGACAAACTCCAAATATTAACTTTGAAGTATGCACATCCATATGCAGCTCCACCCATAATGCACCACCAACAAAGTCCTCTTTTACACTCAGAGTACTTCTCACATTAGATACAGACAATGCCATCCTTTTGTTTTTAACCTTTATGCCCCATACACACTATCAGTTATTTTTAGTTCAGCCCAGCAGGCTCTACAGCTGTGCTGTTGTGTTCTTACAGAGGGACATTCCCCCACCAGAACACACTGGCCGCTCGTCCGACTTCTGTTGAAGGGGCATGACCAGAAAAGCTCTGCCGATCTGGCTTCCAATCAGCACTCTCAGACAATAGCTGACAGCGCTGATTGGAAGCCAAATTGACAGACCTTTTTGGTCATGCCCCTTCAACAGAAGTCGTTCGAGCGGCTGGCTTCTGTACATGTGGGCCGAATGCCGTCTAGTTTCTGTTGAACCGGCCGATACCGCCCAATATTCAGCCCATGTGTACGGGGCTTTACTGTTCGAAGGAGTATAGTCAGGAATATTATTATCCCAGTCATGTGAAGAACAAAGCCAATATTCAGCAATACCAATTAAACCATAGTTCTCTTCATGCACAAAATATTCCAACTTTCCTATTTTGTTTGGCAGACTTCTGGCAGCAGTGAACAAATATTTAAATCCATTGTTGTATTTTACACTTTGATTTTCTACATACATGTACACATGTATGTTTCTACATCTTTGCTACACATTTAGCAAACAGGATTAAAATTTTCAAAAGCTCACTCAACTTTTTCATATAACATTACATCTGTTACATTATATCTGTTGTCAAAATAAATTCAAAAGTTAAACATAAGATAAAAATCACTGGAGGAATGGTAACTGCAAAGCTTCTCAACCATCAGTGTATAATTCCCTGCATGTTATTTGGTCAGACCAGTAAAGTTCCAATGCCCTACAGTTTCACAGTCATCTCAAAACACCCCACGCACTACTGACAGCGATCTCATTACATTCAGCTAAGGTGGGAGTCAGCCATGAGCTTGAAAGAATGGCAGCTATCCATGGCTCAATAGCTGTGCATTATTAATGGTTCTGCTTTATTATTCTTCAGGATCTTCATCTATTTAACCTATTTATTGCCAGACACCCAACCAATACACAACATGAGCTGAAAAGTCAATGGTTAACGTTTGGCATCAGGCTGTTGAGTGCATTAACATATATATTACACACTGAGAAGACCCCAAACAGCTGGGGTAGGCTAGATCTTCACAGGAACTAATAAAACTGATGCCACAAATATTAATATTGGTGACTGCGACTATGGGAGCTGCTACAGTTTATCTTCTTTAAAATAGTGTTGGTAATTTTTTTTCCTACATTCCACACCCAAAACTTCTGATTGAAGGTTTGTGGAGTAAGCGGTGCATTCTTACTGTAATAATATAGAAACTTTAATTCAAAAGTGAAGTAGAGGATACATACACTATCCCAAACATCTGGAGGACTATAGCTTAGCATACTTGGCTCTGAAGAACTAAAGCAAAATCATGTGATTCCACTGTTACAGTGAGAATCCACAGTATGTCATATTTACCCCTAAGTAATTACACATTGCCTCAAACATTCTGTGCATTTCATGCTCTTCATTCATTGACGGCACAAGTAAATTAGAATTTTAAAGCAGTGGAACAAAGCAACAAAACAGTATTGCTGAGTAAGAGAACTCTCAAAAATACATACAGTGTACTGTATACAGGTATGCTTAATCAACATAAAAAATTCCTTTGATGGTTCAAGAGGACTTAACTATGGTTTTGAAATGTTAAGCTTCTAAACAAACACACCATTTTAAGTGAAAGGTGTGACAAAGAAAAGAAAATGCCTTTTGTTTTAAAGTACAACTAAACCATAAAATCACTAAAAACAAAAGCCAGTGTTTAAAGGTTTATTTGTAAGTCATTTAAACTTTTTCCGCGCTTTAAAAATGCCTTCTGACTTGCTTCTCTGGCAATCTCTCCCTATATGAGACACGAGACTTAGGCCT